TACACTATACGAATTTTGTCTGGTTCTTGATGGGCCAAAATGTGCAGTGGGTGCCGCTGTCATCGCCCTTTTGGCCGGTATCCCTCAACCAGCTGCTTAAAAAGGAGAACTATGGGGTTCTATCTTTTTTTTATGAATGCATTCCTTAGGCTAAATAAGTAAATTATGTAATTTACTCTAATTAGCCAAAATGCACAGGAAGGCTGTAAAACCTTATTTTAGGTGGTGGGCGGGGCTAAGCGCCGCAATGAGAAGACATCCCGACGTATCCAACGGGATCTTCCCCACTGATGACTGACAGTGATTCTTGAGAGCTGCTGCGCGTCCACGAATATATGGACATGCGCAGCAGCTCTCTCCTTACCTGCATGTCCCCGTGTGCCAGCTCCTTCCCCACTCTCTCTTTCTCTCTCTGCTGACAGATCGTAGAACCTGTCACAAAATCTTTGCACGAACAGGTCCGGTGTGTTCTGTCGAGAACGCCGACCCAGCTGACTTTGCCGACCTCAACATCTGCGCTTGAGCACACACCGGGATTACCGAGGAAACAGGCATTTATTTACAAAGCATTTTGTCTTAATCGTTAATTGTGACCATTAATAATATGCCATCCATGGCAGTAAATGATGAAGGGCATATTAACATCGTAAGCAATTATTAAAAATACCTGTTTCCTCGTTAATCCCGGTCTGTGCGCAAGTGCAGATGGTGAGGTCGTCAAATGCAACTGGGTCGGCGTTCTCGACAGAACAGCGGCAGCCACTGAGCCGATGGCCGCTGTCAGAACACAATGAAGACAGCGGGAGATTCCTCAGCGTTGATGGAGGAATCTGTTATACTTTCTTCTTTCAGCCCGCAGGATGAACATATAAAATATTACAGGGTATGGCCAGCTTTAGTGTCCCCATTGGAAGATTACCCACCTGTTCCTGTGCTGGTGACAACCCAAAATGTGGGATTTTCTTTCACTTTTAATGACGACGGTCACCAGGAAAAGCCGAGAGGGTGAGTCTCTCTAACAGGGACACAGACCGCAATAAAAACCTCCTGTGTCTAGGTGCTAAAATACACTTACCCAAAACTCAGGAGGTGGACAAACACAGTGTATGGACATGATGATTTACGGGACCTTAGACCACTGCAGAGTTGAGGGGAGAGACATTTGAAGGACCGGTCTAAGAAGAAGCCGGCTCGGAGCTTCGGGTGACTATAGCTTTGTTATTTTAGCACCTAGACCAGGGGTAGGCAACCTCGGCACTCCAGCTGTTGTGAAACTACACGTCCCATGAGGCATTGCAAGACTCTGACAGTCATAGGCGTGACTGCAAAAGCCAGAGCCATAATGAGATTTGTAGTTTCACCACCGCTGGAGTGCTGAGGTTGCCTACCCCTGACCTAGACACAAACAAGCACTTAACCCTTGCAGTGCGGGGAAAGCACCACAGCAAGGGTTAATAAACAAAATCCTGGAGTTCTTCTTTAAACTCTCAATCTCCTTGTTAATAATGAATCCGGATCAAACATATAAACAATCGTCCAGCAAAGTAATTATTTCCATCTTTGCCCAAACACTTACAGTCATCATGTTTCAGAACAGCTTCAACTCTCTAAGATTAGCTTCCCTGGACGTCCTGCCCAGTACAAGACCACAAGGGACAGAGCAGACTCCAGCAGCCATCCATCTACTAGCTTGGAGAAGGGAGAAGAATGGAGGAAGGCCAGCAAGGAGTAGAGGAGTGCCTTGCCTTGCTGTGTCTGTGTATTTGTGGAGACACACACAGCTTACTAGCACACACAAGGGTGGCTCCATAGGACCCTGTAAGGGAAAGGGGTCACCCTAAAACAGGATTTCAGGACCAGCTGATTCTGCAGGAAGCTAAAACGTTTACACATCGATGAGCAGCACCCAGTGTACATGATTTCATCAGCATTTGAAATGGCTTAAAATCCTTTTGACTAGGGATGTCCCGATACTAGTATCGGGGCCGATATAGGGGCCTTTGACATTTTTTAATCGGATCGGCCGCCTCAGGTCCCGCGCTTGCGGGGTCCTGAAGCAGCCTTCCGGGGACCTAGCAGTAGCTGTCTTTGATGCTGCCTGCCAGGTCCCACATGCACTCCTCCTCCTCCTTCCTGGCGCAGGCACTGCTCATGGCAGCCTCACACCACGAATACAGCCTCGGAGCGGGCACGGACCGGCACCCGCTCCGTTCAGCTCACTACGCACCCGTAGAGTGGGGTCAACACAGCACCTGTCAGCAGCGCTGGAGAGACCCAATAGGCAGCCCTGGCGACACTCTGGACGCAGCCCTGGCGACACTCTGGATTCCAGATGGCACCAGGCTGCTTCCAGATTCTGGACGCAACCTGGCGAGATCTGCACACGCAGCCTGGTAAGAGACTGCCCTAAAATCATTAGTCTGTATTGTTTTCGAAAAAAATGTCACCTGTTCCTTTAAGAAAAAGTATCGGTAATTGGTATCGGCAAGTACATGGAGGGGGAAGTACTTGGGTCTTGAAAAAGTGGTATCAGGACATCCCTACCTTTGACCTTTAAAATCACTTTAAATATTTTCTCCTTCTGGATTTTAGTTTTTATTGTGACCTTTGTACATTGATATTATTGCAGGGAGCACATTTGTCTCCTTTTCGGACTCGTACTATTAGCCCTCGTTCACACCTGAACGGTTTTGTAGCGCGTTCTACGCTCGACGAACGCTCTACAAAACGCTCAAAAATATAAATCCCATTGTATTCAATGGTCTCGTTCCCACCTTGGCGTATTTCCGCCCGTCCCTAACGCGCTACAAAACGGCCCACGCCTGAAAAGGTACAGGTACTACTTTGGGCCGTTTTGTTGCGCGTTTCCATTGGGATACAGCCAAGTAGCCTTCGGAAACGCGCGACAGACGTGCATATGCAATACGCCTAGGTGTGAACGAGACCTTAGGTTTCATGAGGTGTGAAAGTCTTCAGTCATACATCCATAAAAATGATGAATGACTGCTGCTTGTGTCTCCTGTGTGTGTGATCCGTACAGAGCGCCTGATGCTGAACACATGATACCAAACACTGTGTGTGCATGGAATGGTCATTTACTATATAACTTCACATCCTGATCATGAATGTGTACACAGCCGTAATGTACATTTCATCACACACACAAAATAGCTCAAAGGGGATCTCTGGTCAAAAACTATAAATAAATCTATATTTCTATATTGATGTTACAGAAGTTCTCCCTCGTTACTAATAACCAAAAACATATAAACTTACTTATTGAAGATGCCCATAGGATGGACTTCCTCAATGCACTGACACCATTTCACTCAGCCCTGAGAACATGCGCTTCCTTCTGTCACCTCTCACAGAGTCTGCCCTCTGATCTACAACTCAACCAATGTAACATTATCATTACTTGCTGGAAGCAATGCATGATGGGCTATACAGTCTTGAGAAATGGAGATTGCACCACATGAAGCAGCGGGAAAAGAGATGCAAAGCACACTGGGAATACAGGAAGTTGTGGAAAGTGATGGGCAGACGGAAAGCATCATCATCCCCCCCCAATTACATGCACCCTGACAAGGTGGCCTCGTGCTTTCTACCGGAAGCATTATTTTAGCGCCATCACGAAAGGGGACATTTGACTATGATCGCAGTTCGATAACGGAAGGCATGCTGGGAAAGGCTTCCCCTTTAAAATGTCAGATTGTTTGGGGGGGGGGGTGCACGCACGCACACTGCTACTTTCAGTCCAATTCAACCAGCTTTATTAGCAAACAAGGCTAAATAAAACAATCAGGGCCAGGCAGAGGGAGAAGTGGCGCTGTGCTATGGGATGGTGAGCCTCTGAAGTCTCTCCTGCCTCTGAGAGGTTGCCTCCCGCACTGTGCAAGGCTGAGCTGTCAAACTGATGGCGGCTCTCCCTGTGTAACCACAGGCACTTGCGTGACAGCCGCTCGCTCTGTATCAGGAGGTGTGTGTGTTCCATGTAAACAGAACACAGCTCCCAGCAGTCACAGAGCTCTGATTATTACACAGGGAGAGCCTTATTCTCCCTGTGTAATCTGCAGGACTGTGCTATCCATTGGACATCTCAGGTCCCACCCTGCATATGCCCTCATAGTCCCTGCACTCAAGGAGCTTACAATCTGAGGTCCCCATCTTACATACATACATACATACATACAGGAGCCAATGAACTTACCAGCATGTCATTGGAGTGTGGGAGGGAGCTGGAGTACCTAGAGGAAACCCCTGTAAGCACAGGGAGAACATGCACACCCCATGCAGATGGTGTCTTGGTCAGGATTTAAAGGAGAATGAGGTGAGTGATTTACACTCATAGTTAGAGCCGACGTGTGACATTGAAACTGTCACACGTTGGCTCTATAGATCGGGAAGTGAGCGAACACATACCGTGACTGCCAGTCACCACTCCCTGCAGGGATTCTCCCCCCCCCACCAAGCGCTGACTAGAGGGAGGGACGGATGGGGGTTGGCACAGCTGGCTCTGCCTCGAGATAGGCAGAGCCCACTGTCTCTCACATTCTCTTTTAAGCCAAGAACCCCAGTGCTGCAAGACAGAAGTCTTAACCACTGCACTGCCTATTGCACCTTTGATTAAAAAATTACTATTACATGTAAATACCTAAAAAAAGAACCCCAATCAGTTTTAACACCTTCTTTCCCTTCTCCTATAGTATTTTTTTTGTTTTCTTATAATTGTATGTATGAAGATCCATTTCTGTTTATAAACTTCTTTCCAGAAATAGCCCTGAGGTGCACTTTTCATCTTGGCGCTGCAACCTACCACCAAACTGCGAAACGATGGGTCGCCTTCCAATGATAGAATATTGCCATATGTATAGCCAGCGATAGGTTTCCATGGCTCATAGCACCCTGTTGTCACATCTCACAGGCCCCCCAGCCCAGTCCAGACTGTATTGCAGCAGTAAGCCGACAGCCCCAAAGCAACCTCGTGCCCCCAGTCTTACCTCCTCCACGAAGCTGGTGATATCATAGACCCGGCCATGGATGACCAGCCACAGCTCCTTAGCGGAGTTCCTCTTCTGCACATCTTCCAGAGTGTAGTAAGTCACCTCACAGTCCTGTCCTCCTTCCTCGTTCGCCATTGCCACCGGTGCCACAGTGAACGCGTTACGTAACCCGACTCAATTTGACTGCACCCGGCTTCCGTCCAGGGACGCCTTACAGTCGGCTCATGGACACAGGTGAGATCTCCAAGGTGACAGCCAATCGCGTCCAAGAGGGCGGAGCGCGTCGGAGAGCATTGGCCAATAGGAGACGCCCGTGCTTTCAGACCATTGACGGATTACAATAGCCGTAAGGCGTCTCTATTTAAAGAGCGGCCATGTTGGATGTGGGCAGCTGAGGGCTTCACTTCGCGAGAATGGTGTCAAAGTTGGGTGCCAAGCTGGCATTGCCATCTTATTATAGTAATGAAATAAAAGTTTATTACATAAAGTGCGTTTTTTCCCCTTAAATGATTATAATTGTATAGCTGCAGTTGCTTGAAGCTGAGCGCCAGACACAAAAACTTTCATATAAATAAATTCGTAAATAGGCACAAAGGATATAAATGCACCAGATGCCTATGTAAACCCAGATTTTATCTTGCACTGCAGATAACCAGTGTTGTGGGAGGGGCCAGCAGAACCACACACTGCAGAAGACTGCAGGAGGGGCGGATATAAGACCACCCACCCTGCACAGGGTGCCAGAGTAGCAGTGACTGGTCTTTATTACAGAAAGCTCTTGCACAGATGTCCCATTTTTACTGGTTAGGCCAGGGGTGGGCAACTCTGGACCTCCAGCTGTTGTGGAACTACAAGTCCCATGAGGCATTGCAAGATGGACAGTTACAGGTATCACTCCCAGAAGAAGAGGCATGTTGGGATTTGTAGTTAAAGCACAGCTGGAGGGCCAGATTTTCCCACCCCTGTGTTATGCTGGTAAATAGGTGGCAACCCTCTGCTGACCACCAATGCAATGTAAATTACTAAAGTCGCTCGCTCTGTGCAGGGCTAAGGTCGTCTCGTAACCCTTCGGCTGTGGTGTGTTTAGCATATTGCTCCGTCAGGTTATTACTAGTAACATAATTCACCCAAGTCTGTCAAATCCTAGTTATGGGATCATCCGGGCCAAGGCTGAAGAGGCAACCGCCTTAGCCACCATGCTGTGCATCTCCTGCCTCTGCATTGCCCAGCCTTTTCCTGCACTGTGCAGGGCTGAGCTGTCAAACTGACAGCCCCATCCTTCCGATTACACTGAGAGATGGCGGATCTCCCTGTGTAACCAGCAGCACTCCGCTGTCAGTGTCACAACCGCCCACACTGTATCAGAAGCTCTGTGTGCTCTATGTAAACAGAGCCCAGCGCCCGCCTGTCACGGAGCTCTGATTATTACACAGGAAGAGCTGCATTCTCCCTGTGTAATCTGCAGGATTTCAGCTATCAGATGGACATCTCTGGTCTTGCTCCATTTATAAATGTAAATTCCTATTGTAGCCTTCATTCATCAATCACTGTTATTAGTGATGCACCGATACCGATACTAGTATCAGTGCCTATACCGAGCATAATGGTCCCGATATGTATCACAATACTGGAACCTCCGGTTTTAGGAAGCCGCGCCACAAGCCATTAAACGTTGCCCGGCTTCTTGATTAGCTGGGAAGCCGGCTCCATGCTCCCTCGTCACCATGGAGCTGCCTTCCCCGCAAATCAGGAAGCCAGGCGGTGGGTAATTACCGCCCCCCCCCCTGGCTTCCTGATTGGCCGGGAAGCCGGCTCCATGTCTCCTCGTCACCTGGTGGCGAAGGAGCATGGAGCTGGCTTCCAGGCCAATCAGGAAGCCGGGCGGCGTATAATGACTCGCCACCAGGCTTCCTGATTGGTCAGGAAGCTGGCCAATCAGAAAGCCAGCCGGCGATTCATTACCTGCCCCCCGGCTTAGCCAGAAAGCCGGCTCCATGCTTCCTCCTCACCTGGTGACGTTGGGAGCATGGAGCTGGTTTCCAGGCTAATCAAGAAGCTGGGCAGTGAGTCATTACCTGCCACCCGGCTTCTTTAATGGGACTTCCGGTATCGTCGAGTACCCAAAAAAAAAAATATCGGTGCATCCCTAATATGTGTGAATAAAACCCCCCGAAAAACAACATTTATCTTATTATTAAAGTGACATTAAAGGCAACTTTCCCTCCCCCAAAGTTAATTAAAGAACTTACCTTAAATAATGTTTCTTAATCCGATCTTCTTCTTCTTTCCTGTTGTTTTCAGCCTTCTCTCCAGCGCTGCTGCGGGTCTCCGATCCAGCGCTGACTCCTCTGGGCTTGCTGGCACTTCCTGTCCCACAGTGTCTGCATGCAGGTGCCCGTGTCCATAGACATACCTTGCGCCCCTCCTCGCTTCCCGGCCAAAAATGTGAACTGCGAATGCGCGCGCCCAAAGATCCTTTGCGGCCGCCCGAGAATTTTCACATTTTCGGGCGGGAGCACAAAGGGAAAACACAGGTAAGTTTAAACCGCTGTTAAAGTGTTTTTTTTTTTACTTTTTGCATATAGATATATGCAAAAACAGCCGAGGGTTTAGAAACCCTTTAATGCTTAGCGGTCTATTTATCAACAATTCACAAATGTCTGTGAACGTTCCCTGTGTGCGAATATACTATCAGGGTTATTCACAAAATGGTGAAGAGTTTGGAGAAGGGAACAATCTAGAACAACATAGCTGATTTGGAAAAATTCTCCAATTCAGCTCACTTTCCAGTTCAGCTATGTTGTCCTAGATTGTTCACTTCTCCTGCCTTCTCCAAACTCTTCACCCTTTTGTGAATAGCACCCTATATGTCAAAACAAATCTCCTTTAGGTATCTTCTTTACAAGTGCGTTTCATTTTTTAACGTGTTGATGTAATATTCCATATTGGCCACTAGATGGAGCTAAATGAGCACAGGAAGTATTGATTTCCTGTGCTCCTCAGCATCATCTAGTGGCCATTTAGCAGTATTACATGGAAAAAAACCATTTGAAAATACATGCCTCGTAAACAAATAGCTAAAGAACATTTGTTTTGGCATATATCCGCACAGAATGTAATTTTCAGAAGAGACTCGAGCAGAGGATTAGCGTCCACCATTATTGTTTCTTCGTTTACAGGAATGTCTTTTCGCCAAATGTTATTCTTCTGACAGGGCCACTTTAAACCATGCTGCTTATATTTTTTGTGACCCCCCTTTAAAAATTCAAAATATGTAAAAAAAAAAGAACAAACCCGACAGTACAATTGGACTTGGGGTTCTGAGACTTTTCCCTGAAAAACCCTATTATGTAGATCTACTAAGAAAGAATAAAAACAATCTCATAACATTAACTGTCAACTTTTGCCGCCTAAACGTCTTCATCCGCCCTTCCAATCATGGCGGGCGATTCGGCGACGTCATGTGACCGGAAGTGTGGCACGCAGCAAGCCAGTTAACTATACACAGTGGAGGAGAATGGCGGCCCCTGAGGACAGCGATGCGTGGGCTCTGGAGCCCGTGGTGAACCAGTGGGTGCTGGACTACTTCTTCCACCTGGCCGTGCTGGCCTTCAGGAGCAGTCGCCATGACGACTTCGCGGAGCTCCGGGACATCGTGTCAGGTGACTACAGGAAGGGCACGAGAAACTTCAGTGGGAAGAGGGGGGCGTGGTTTTACCCTGCGATTCCAGGGTTTTCCCGCGCTGGCTCCGCAGGGCGGTGTGTGCTGGCACTTGTAGTCCCTTGGCTGTATACTGTGTGCAAGGGAGGCATCCCATACACGGTGTTTGTAATAACCTGGTAAACATTTCCCTGAATTGTAAAGAGCACCTGTCATTGGCGAGCCTTACAAATGTTTATGTAGCAATGACAATGTATGCAGTGGTTTTCATATTGTACATTCCCTGGGGAATGTTACCATGGTGACAGCATCCTTTTAAAGTGACCTTGTGCTTGGTTTATGCAGGCCGAAGCAGCAGGATAACTCGCCTTTCCCATTGCGCCCTTCCTCCTACCACGCCATTCTGCAACAAGAAAAGATAACCCATACAATGGTCCAATTGCTGAGTCGGCCCAAATTTGAGTGGCGTGTGACCCCGGTTGGCGACCCTTTAATCCACAGATTTCAATTTTTCAATCGAACAAGCTGGTCTGAAAATTCTCGGCCGAACGCTGAGTGCAGCCAATCATCTGCAGTCACCGTTCAGGTATTCTGACAGCGCCACACCCGCTGCTGTCACTATATAATAGCCTGACGGGGGTGGATTTGCGATCGCAAGAGACTTGCAAATTTTTTGGTGAGACTCATGCAATGGGCAGGATGCGCCGTACAATACAATGACATCTTCCGGCGTCTGGAGCCGTTCACATGTAACAACACATGCTGCCATCACCTGATGACTATGGCCGCTGGACGCAGACTGCTTGTGGCCGGGGTTAGTTGTCTGCCGGAAGTTGCAGCATGCGCGATTACATGCAAAAGGCTGCGGGCCATGGCAGCTGTCATTGTATTGTACGGCGCTGATCGCATGAGTCGCGCCAAGAAATTTGTGAAGCTCTTGCGATTGGCCCGGATGAGGGAATTCCTCCCCCGGTCAGGCTATTGTATAGTGACAGCAGCAGGTGTGGGAGATGCATGCGATCAGCCCCATTCACAAGTATAAATGGGGAGTCTGTGAGTTAAGGGGTTCATTTATAGCACAGTGGTTGGCTCTGAAGCACTGGGGGGTCCCTGGTTCAAATCCTGGTCAGAACACACTGCATGGGGTTTGCATGTTCTCCCCATGCTTGTGTGGGTTTCCTCCAGGCACTCCGGTTTCTTCCCACACTCCAAAGACATGCTGGTAGGTTCATTGGCTGCTGTCTAAATTGGCCCTGTATGTATGCGAGAGTGAGAGAGACCTTAGATTGTAAGCTCCTCAAGGGCAGGGACTGATGTGAAGCGCACTTTGTAATACCTGTAATCAATAAAATACGCTGGGTGGATGCCTCTAGATGGCGCTGACGAGTACTCCCTATTCATTCCCATTCCTATAATGGACCCCTAAATGGAAGGTCAGCTTTACCATACCAAAGGTTACACATCTCCCATGTGACAGCGCCGGGCCAGTCACCAAGCAGCAGCATCATCATCAAAAACATAGGAGGAGGAGGAAGGGGGCACATGCTCCTCCATTCCCAGACATCATGGGTATTTCTAGGGCTGCAACAACTAATCGATTATAATCGATTATTGAAAAAGTTGTCAACATTCTCTGTGATAAGTGTCGCTTTATTAAAAGAGATTTCTTCTCACTTCCTGTCCTGGTGGCAATGTTTTGCCACACCGGAAGTGAAGGGAATTCTCCCAACAGCAGCACAGACGGAAATAAAAGTTATCTTTTTTTTAGTAGGTGAAGGATGGAAACCGAGCCGGATTTGTATGTCTGTCTGTGTCCCTGTTGGTGATTTTTTTTCCTCACTTCCTGTCTGGTGAGACTTGTCAGCAGGACAGGAATTGAGGGGGAAATTTATCTAACAGAGAGACACCAGACAGGACTTGTAATCCTTCCCCTCTCTAGACAAAACTTGAATCACTTTAACGAATATCTTTTTAATCACGTCGTCATTTTTCCGTTTTATTCGCAGTTTTAATCCAACGTCCCTTTAAATTTATGGAAAAGAACACGCAGGTCCTGCGCATTTTGCAGTGTTTGTCCCGCATTGAAGAAGGAGATGATCCAGGTATGTAGCGGGGCAGATCCTCCCCTAATAGGAAATGTAATATAAACATAAACAATTCTTGTTGCCTGTGTCGGCTCACTTTCTGCCTGTATAAAAGACTCTGACCCATTCAGGGCAAAGTGACAGGAGGCTCCACACTAAGGGCCCTGTCAGGGGGCGTGGCGGGGCCATTCATGTCAATGGCAGTGCGATCGTTCGCACGGGAATGCCCTCCGTTCCGGTCCAGTGCGATAGGAAAAGAATAGCGCATGCAGCATTTTTTCCCATCACACTGCACTGGAACGGAGGGCATCCCTGTACCTCGCGTAGCCTGATCTATGCGATCCAGTGAGTTCTGGGCTTGGGCCACGTCAGGAATGCACTGGATATGGTGTGACTAGGCCTTCTAGCTAGCCATACACTGCTTGAATTTCAGCCAGGCCATTTTTGGCTCGGATGAAGTTCTACCAGTTTGTGGCCCCTTCAGCACCTCTCTGGTTGACCAAAATCAATCGATCTTTATTAAAGAAGCCGGTCTGAAAATTCTTGGCCGAGCAGCTGCAGTCACTGTTCAGGTATCCTGAAATAAATGGGCTTCCTTAAAGCCTCTCCCCAGTTAGTAGACCTTGCATTGTGCCTACTCCCGCACTGTAGGGCTTGCTGCTCGTTTTTGTCTAGTGGACCTTTGTAAAGGACTTTTACTTAGCCTCCCCCACACCAACCAACCACCACCACACTCTGGCAGTCAGAGGCCCGCTGACATCATGTCTAATGCAGAGTTCATAGCCTTGCATTATATATGAGGCTGCCAAGGGACAGATCACGAGCATCTTTAACTAATGGCTGTTCCCTGGAGTGTTGGATGCCTGTCTTTTCCTCCATGCATACCGTGGGTCCATCCTCTGACCCCTGTGTCACTACAGGACATGGTATCAATGTATGTGTCCGAAGATGGAACATGCAGCTGGGGGCCCAAGTACCCGGCACTCCCTGAAGTGGTGAATGCCGACGGGTCTAAGAGAGGCTGTAGTGCTGGAACTGAGCAAAGGTAGGAGACGCAGGCTGCCAGATAGGCCAGCTTAATAGTTCTATTGCAGAGAGCAGCTATTGTGTGATTGACAGGGTCACTTTAACCCCTTCATGACTGAGGCCTTTTTTTCATTTTTTGCACCCATGTTATATTGCACATTTTAGGCCTGAAAATGACTTAAAACCCCCAAACATTATATATTTTCTGAATGCCAAGACCCTATAGAATAAAATGGTGGTAGTTGCAAATTTTTATGTTGCGCTAATATTAGCGCAACTCCTTATTAAACCCCTACATTTAGTGAAAAATTTAATGAAATGCCCCAAAACACAACAAAATACCCATTTTTTTTAAACGAAATATAAAAGATGAAGTTACAACGAGTAAAACGATACCCAACACGCCCAGGTTACATATTGCGTGCGTCCGTGAAACGGCGAAAAACTGCAGTACCCCAAAAAGTCCATAGAAGACGCTTTAAAAGCCCCCACAAATCATCAATTTAGAGATGCCCAAGAATTATTGCTCTCACTCCGGCGTGCACGGCGATACCCAACATGTGTAGTGCGTTCGTTGTTTTCATACTTGGCGCACCCGACACGTGTTTACGTGGCGATGCACGGGGGCGGGGGACTTTTAAATTTTTTTACAAATTATTATTAGATTTATTTTTAATTTTAAAAAGTTATCACATAGGGGGGCTTACAAGCCCCCCCATGTGATAGCAGATGGTGGTGACAGGTCCTCTTCAAGGGGATGCTGGGGGTCCAAAAGACCCCCAGTGTCACCTTTACACTGGAAATAAGCTATTGAAGTGCAGATCGCACTTCAATAGCTTATAGCTGGGCTGCAGGAGCCCAGAACTGACAGCCCAGGGACCGGAAGTGATGCAATCTGCATCGCTCCCGGTCCCATAGAACGGGGAGGGGATCGATGAACGGAAGTTCGTCGACCTCCTCCCCAGCTCCCCGCGGACACAAAGATCGCCGGTCCCGGGCCCGTAGGAGGGGCAACGGAGCCCGGGAAGCACGGCGGGGGTGTCCGGCGGGGGGGGGCGGCCCCTTCTTCGGGACGCAGAAGCGATCTGGCGACAGGTAAGTCGCCAGGATCGCTTCTGTTGTAAAGCCGACAGTCGGCTCTACAAGTTTAAACAGAGTCCCGGCGGCAAAAGTCGCCGGGAGTCTGTTTAAACAGCCCCGATGCTGGCGACGTACACTGTACATCGTCAGTCACGAAGGGGTTAAACAGGCCCTGCTCTCAATGAGCAAGTTGTCTGTGAAGGTCCTTATTCATCCAGGTCATAGTATATCTGTAAAAAAATAAATCAAGGTAACTGGACTTGCTGTATTTTTTCTTGAAGACATTTTGCTGGTCATCTGACTAGCTTTTTCAATTGAGACCAGTGAAACAACTTCAAGAAAGAATACAGTCCAGTTGCCTTGATTTATTCTTCTGGGACAGCATCTGAGAGATAGTCTTCTCCCACCTCCCACCTGAAACAGGAAACACATCATACACACCAAATAAAAAGGCACCTAGTGCTGGCATGCCTCAGTTATTTGTGTTTCCTCGGCCTTAACAGGTACATCGGGATATTTCTTTGTTTTCTGTTAGGCCTGCGTGCACGCGACAGGTATCCCCTCCTTTGGGGCCAGCAGTCTCGGGGATACCGGAGCAGCTTCCCAGGGCAGTCCCCACCCTGTCCTACCCACCGGGGTGAAGTAGTCCTGCAGGTTCCCCTCTTTCAAGAGGGCAACCATCCTCCAGTCGTGTCGGCTCCAGTGGACCTTTCCCCAGCCTGCCATGTACAGTTGCCCTCGCCATGCTGCAGTGGTGCTTGTGCAGGACCCAAAGGTAACAGGGCCCAAGCGGTCCAGCGGCAGGTCCCCTCTCTCTTCAGGGGCGCCCCGCAATGCTTCCCCCACTACCCCACCAAACTGCTTACCTGTCTGCTGGATGATGTGTCCAAACAGCAGTGGACCGTGCAGGAGACCGAGCCGCATGCTCGACCGAGTCACGGAAGCAGGCCGCTCGCGCGGTATACTATGACCTGGATGAATAAGGCCTTGTTCACACCAAATGCAGACCAGATCCGGTCAGGTCTCTGCACACGCAGTGTAGTGGGTTGTGCCGCGTTTTGGATGCGTTTTGGATGCGTTTAGGGCCGGTTTTGGTTAAAAAAAATAAAAATTTTAAGTTTAACATGGACTTTCAGGCACTTGCATGCGTTTTTGCGTTTTAGATGCGTTTTTGATGCGTTCCAGACCAGATCCAGAGCAGGTAAAATAGGGCTTGCCGCATTTTTTTCATCCGGTCTGGATCTGCACGCTGCGATGTGAACTGGAGGTCAAAATACCATAGGAATACATTGGACGCAGTTTTGATCCGGTCTGCACCTGCTCTGCTCTGGATCTGCTCCGCTCTTGGTGTGAACAAGCCCTAAGAACCTTCACAGACCACTTGCTCATTTAAAGCAGTCCAGTTGCCTTGATTTATTTATTTTTATAGATGTACTCAATGAGCAAGGTGACCGGGTTGCTTTAGGTTTAACTATAGACCAGATTTGCTGTCTGTGGGTCTCTTGAGTGCCTCCAGTTATTGAAGTTTTACATCAATTATACAGAGTCCTTTTTCTTTTACCTGTTCACCCAAAAACTGTTTGTGAGCATGCTCTCTGCACATGTAATAGTATCAGTTTCCTAGCATTCATCTTGGACTCCTAACGTAGTAGTTTTGTCTTTGTTCTACAGTTGTGTAGTTTCCCGTACTCGAAATGTTCTTTCTATTCCACAGATTGCGCCTTTGATCAGGACAGCAGCGAGACTCCCCTTGAATCTGCGGTGGAGGTTCTTAACATGGTGAAGAATGAGATGACGCTGGATAAAGATGTCATAGAATCCAATATGCAAATGTTAAAAGAATCGGTGAGTATTGGTAAAATGTGCTTTACAACCACTCTGCCATTAAAGGTAGGGATGCACCGATACCAAGTACCGTAGTCAGTACAAGTACAGATACTTTTCCAGCTCCCAAGACTAGACTAGAGAACAATTCAAAAGTTAGGAGGCAGCTGTCATGTGTAAGGAGCACACGGTGCTCCTGGGATTGGTACATCTCTGTTTTAATGTATGATTTTGTTTTTATAAATATATATTAGTGATGCACCGATACCATTTTTACAAGTACTGATACTTGCCCAAGTCCTCACAGATACAAGTACTGATACATTTTTGTTTATTGTCATGTGACAGTTTTTCTAAAACAATACAGACTAATGATTTCAGGACAGTGGTGGAGCATCAGAGCCAGGTCCCAGCTGCAGCCCTGGTAGTTCTCATGAAAATGCCAAGTTTCGGCACTGGTATCTGTGCATCCCTAATTAAAGGGACTACTTATGACATTGGCAAAGTATATAAATGTTTTGTCCTAATATACCAGCAACATTCAAGTTGAACTTTAGTCACATTAAAAAAAAAACGCAGCTCTGTTTTTTCTTCATTTGAAGAACTCCAGGAATTTAAAAAACATTACAGTGGGGCTACCCCCGAACTGCAAAGGTAAGCTGCTTGTTCTGTTTATGGGAGTCAAATATAGCAGATATAGTCATCTTATCCTTGGTCCTGCCGGTCCCTGCAGCCTCCTCTTCCCCAGGCTCTGGTCTAAGGACTGCTGACGTCATCACGTCTTTATGCAAGTCCATTGCCTTACTTTAGCTACACCAAGGGATTTCCGGAGGGGAGAGAGGTGAGTGGCAAAAGCAACGAGACTGACGATCAGGTGAGTATATCTGCTTTATTTAAGCCCCCCTAGACCAAATGAGCACCTAAAGGATACCGTATTTTTCGCTCCATAAGACGCACTTTTTTCCCCCCAAAAGGAGGGGGAAAAAGTGCCTGCGTCTTATGGAGCGAACCCCGACGCCCGAGACATGCAGTTTCGGGCGCCGGGCGAGTAGTAGGAGCCACTGCTCGTTTAATACGAGTGATCTAATGAGATCACTCGTATTAAAACCGAGCAGCGGCGACGATCGAGATAACCATAGAGCAGACGAAGAATAGACGTTCTTCGCCTGCTCTGTGTCATCACTGAGACCGTGGCGCTTTAATCACAGCGCCACCTGTCTCAGCGGTCACTAACTGCAGCTTCTGTCACAGCTTCTGTCATAGAAGCTGTCACAGAAGCTACAGTCTCGAGTGCTCCATAAGGCGCGCCGGACCTCCCTGCGTCCTATGGTCCAGTGCGTCTAAGGACCGCAAAATATGGTAATTAAACCCTCTGCATTTTTGTAGGGATCTACTACTAGCAAGCAGTAGATGGATGGAAAAACATTTAAAAATGAAAAACGTTTTTAAAAGGGTTTAAACTTGCCTGTGTCTTCGCCGCACGCTCCCGTCCGAACATCTGAAGAGTCTCGGGTGGCCGCAAAGGATCTTGGGGCGGGCGCATGCACAGTTCAGATGTTTGGCCGGGAGACGAGGAGAGACACAAGGTAAGTGTATGGAACAGCGTGCACCCTCGCAGACTCCGTGAGAGAAGAGGAGGACAGAGGAGTCAGCGCTGGATCGGAGACCCGCACCCAACGCTGGATGGACAGCTGTAAAGGACAGGAAAGATGATGATGGAATCAAGAGGCATGATTTAGGGTAAGTCCCTACAGCAGGATTGGGAAGGGGGGGGGGGATTCTGACTTTAATTTCACGTTAATCAATTTCTCTGTCCTCTGCAGGCTGTGGTGGCATGTATAAAAAAGAAACAGTTTAGTAAAGCCAGCAATATACTGAAGAAATACATTTCAAGTGGCAATGAAACCAAGGTAAGCAATATGTAAGTAGTAGAGTATGTAACTGTAATCTTGACAAAGGGCTGTTTCACACCAGTGGCTTTGTAGTAGAGATTTGCAGCAGCTACAGATCTCTGCTTGTTTTCTCTGGTGATTTGTAGCTGGATACAGATTTGTCGCTGTAGCTGGTTATAATGCTTCTCTATGCAGCTACAAATCTTCAGTCTGATATGATCATCAGCAGCTGCATTGTATAGCTAGCGATTCTGTACCTAGCTTCAAACTTATGTTCAAACACACAAGTTCTGCAATACAGATCTTTCATTGACTGGCTGTTAAGTAAGCGATTCTATAGCTTCTACAGTTTGTTTTTACAAAGTCGCCTGTGTGAAATGGTTCTAACCATTCACATGATTTATTATAAGGCCTCATTCACACTGTAATCGGCCCACACGTAGAGCTCCGTGCTGCGTGCAGGGCCGTACCAAGCAGCTCCTGGGAAGGACAGGTTTAGTATGCAGCCCCCGTCCTT